TTCTGGCTGCTTAAGAGAGGAATCAGGAGGGTAACCTTATGTATTTGAGAGAGGGCAGTTCCTAGGGAGTGGGAGGTCATGTGAGCTGGGCAGATGCTTCAGAAAATGTCTCCCACAATCATTTAAAAATTAACTCCATAATTTTCTCCTCCTTAAGTATGAGTTGTGCACAGTGACCTCCTTTCAAAGAGTACAATGTGGAAGGGAGGGGAGCAACTTGATAGTGGAGAAACCTCACAAACAGCACTATAGCCAGGTGGTCAAAGTCAAAATCAACAGTGATAAATCACGTTGACAGTATGTACCCTTGATGTGATAGGATGACAATGGTACTTAGCATCTGTGGCCTTCCTCCCAATAACCCATAACCTCAGTCTAATCATGAAAATATCAGACATCAATGTGTGGGCAGGGGATGAAATAAAATATTTAAAAACAAAAATTAAATAAAATAACAAAAAAGAAAACATCAAATAAATCCCAGTTGATGGACGTTCTACAAAGTAACCGACCAATAATTCTCACAACTGTCAAGGTCATAAAAAAAAAAAGTCTGAAAAACTGTTACAATGAAGAGCACCCAAGGAAACATGACAAATAAATGTAATGTGGTGTCCTGGATGTGATCCTGAAAGATAAAAAGATAATTAGATAAAGACTAAAGGTACCTTAATAAAGTATGGGCTTCGATTAATAATAATTTATCAATATCGGTTAATTAATTGTAACTAATGTACGCTACAAATGTAAGATGTTAATAATGGGGAGATGGGAACTCTGTACTATGGGCTCAAATTTTCTGTAAACCTAAACATACTCTAAAAAACAAAGTCTACAGCCTGGGCAACATGGCAAAACCCTGTCTCCACAAAAAACACAAAAGACCAAGTGTGGTGGCACGCATGTGTAGTTCCAGTGACTTGGGGGAATGAGATGGGAGAATCATTTGAACCTAGGAAGTCAAGGCTGCAATGAGCCATGATCATGTCACTGCACTCCAGCCTGGACAACAGAGAAAGACCCTGTCTCAAAACAAAGTCCATTCATTTTTCTAAATAGCATGCTACTAAAGAGGTGTTTAAAATTATTTTTTAATGGGTATAGAGTTTCAGTTTCAGATGAAGAAAAAGTTCTGGAGATGGATGGTGATGATGGTTGCATGACAATGTGAATGTCAGTAATGCTATAGAGCTAGTACACTTAAAATGGTTAAAATGGTAAATTATGTATATTTTACCAAAATTTAAATGTATCTTAATAAAGCATTCAATTATATTGGTGTTATTACCCAGTTTAATGACAGGTTTCACAGGTATGTGTTCTCTGTTCCCAAGGAATTCCAATATGTTGAGCATGAATATCAATGTAGAGTCCAACTATAAGTCAAAATCTCAGTAAGTTTTGGTGAGTGAAGGTGATACGGTTTGGCTCTGTGTCCCCACCCAAATCTCATGTTGAATTGTAATTCCCAATGTCGAGGGAGGGACCTGGTGGGAGGGGATGGGATCATGAGGGCAGATTTCCCCCTTGCTGTTCTTGTGATAGTGAGAGAGTTCTCATGAGATCTGATGGTTGAAGAGTGTGTGGCATTTCCCTCTCTCCTGCTCTCCCATGGTTAGACGTGCTTGCTTCCCCTTTGCCTTCCACCATGATTGTAAGTTTCTGGAGGCCTACCAGTCATGCTTCCTGTTAAGCCTGCAGAACGGTGAGTTAATTAAATCTCTTTTCTTCATAAATTCCCCAGTGTCTGGTACTTCTCTATAGCGTTGTAAAAACAGATTAATGCAGAAAGATGGGGAAACTTTCCAGAAAAGGTGTAACTTAAAATCCTTCTAGAAGAAAGGGAAGAATTTAGCTGAGAGGAATATGGGTGATATTTGATCCCACAACACTGGAAAGAATTAGGCTTCTAACTGATATTGGATTTCAATCTGCTTGAGGTCCACCACCCTGCACAAACCTTCTTCAAATTATCCACATTTGAGCAAGTCACCTGTTCCTCATTGGGACCCTCTGACTGATATATTTTCTTGGGAAATATTTTCTTGGGAGTCGGTCTTGGGAAAAATTGAAAAGAAGACTACAGGTCAAATGATGTTTGATGAGAAGCCTTTGGAGAGAATCATATGTTAACATATAATTTGGAAGCTCAAAAAGGTGTTGTTTATTGTCCTTCTCAATAACATGAGAAAATAGAGACCGTCCATATAGGTTATCCCTGCTCCTATTTTGGAGCTTACAGCAGAATACAAAACAGTGGAAAATGGATCTGGAAGGGCAAAGGGAAGCTATATAACACATTCTATAGGTCTCATCCCTCATTCTCCTTCCACTGAACCAACCCCTCCACCTCCCCACAGTTTAGGGAGGACCTCAGCTAATAATGGGGAAATGACTGATAAAAATGTTACAAAAAGATTGTAGGTGCATCAATTGTGGTGCTTCTGACTATAAGAAGAGTAGACCCAACTAATAGAAGTTAAAATAAAAGATTATTCTATAATAAGTCCAGAAGAAAGGTTCAAGCCTAGGTCAATCCATGATCCCACTATGTCCTCAAGAGCCAGGGGCTTTCTCCGTCTCGGTAGCATGAGAGCAAAATCTCCCCTTGGCTGCAAGATGACTGCAGATGTTCCAGGTCTCACACACTAACTCAACAACCTCTAGTCAAGAAGAGCAGCATTTCACCCTAGGGTTTTCTTTGTTTTAGTGAGGAAAATCTTTCCCCACATCTTCAAATAAGATACCCTCGGATCCCATGAGCCGGAACTCAGCCTCAAACCATTCCCTAGGAATGTGAATGAGGTTGTCACTTAAGTCAATCATGATTTACCTCCTGGGACTGTGAACGAGCCACAAATTCAAAGTTCTACCAACAAGGAAAAAGGTGGTAGTTGCTGCAAGGTAGTATCCAACATTCCTGTATGGAGGGGGGCGGGAATCCAACGCTCTGTCCTCAAAGAACCAAAGAATAGGCTTTCTTGTAGCTTCTTCCTTCTTCCCCCATAAGCTGGAAATATCTCCAAAGCAAAATTTTTAATAAAAGGTGCACCAAAACTTTATCTTCCTTTCCACATCTCTGCCTTTAAGAAAATTTATTATGGGGACTTTTGCTTTTGTTCTTTACTTTTTTGACTGTTTACCACCTTTGGGGATATAACAATAAATAAACCAAAGCCCCTGAATTCTAGGGGCTCATGAGTGATGTTAAGAGAGTGGAAAGTTTTTAATCCTTCTTGAGTTAATTTTTGTGTAGGGTGAAAGGTAAGGGCCCAGTTTCATTCTTCTGCATATGGCTAGCCAGTTATCCTAATGCCATTTATTGAACAGGGAGTCTTTTCCCCACTGCTTCTTATTGTCAACTTCAGTGAAGACTAGATGGTTACAGACCATCTATAAAAATCTAGAGACTAAAACTGTAAAAAATCCTAGGAGCAAACCTAGAAACTACCATTCCAGACATTGGCCTTGGTAAAGAATTTATAACTAAGTCCCCAAAAGCAACTGCAACAAAAACAAAAATTGACAAGGGGGACATAATTTAACTAAAGAGCTTCTGCACGGCAAAGTAAACTATCAACAGAGTAAACAGACAACCTACAGAATGAGAGAAACTATTTGCAAACTATGCATCTGACAAAGGTGTAATATCCATCATCTATAAGGAACTCAAACAATTCAACAAGCAAAAAACAACCCCATTAGGAAAAGGGGACAAAGGATATGAACAAACATTTCCCAAAAGAAGACCTACATGTGGCCAACAAACATATGAAAAAAAATGCTCAGTATCTCTAATCATTAGAGAAATGCAAATCAAAATCACAATGAGATACCACGTCATACTAGTCAGAATGGCTATTACTAAAAAGACAAAAATTAACAGATGTTGGTGAGGTTTCTGAGAAAAAGGTACACTTACACACTGTTGGCAGGAATATAAATTAGTTCAGCCAGCGTGGAAAGCAGTTTGGAGATTTCTCAAAGAACTAAAAATAGAATTACTATTTGGCCCAGATATTGTATCACTGGGTGTGTATCTAAAAGAAAATAAATTATTCTACAAAAAGATATATGCACTGGTATGTTCCTCATAGCAACATTCACAATAGCAAAGACGTAAAATCAACCTAGGTGCCATCAATGGTGGGTTAAATAAAATATGGTACACATACACCATGTAATACTCCACGGCCATAAAAAAGAATGAAGACATGTCCTTTGCAGCAACATAGATGGAGTTGAAAGCCATTATCCTAAGCAAAGTAACATAGGAACAGAAAAACAAAAACTGCCATGTTCTCACTTATAAGTGGAATCTAAACATTGGGTCCACATGGACATAAAGCTGGAAACAACAGACACTGGAGACTACTAGAGGGGGAAAGGAGGAAGGAAGAAAGGGTTGAAAAAGGACCTAACGGGTACTATACTTACTACCTGGGTGATGGGATCATTTGTACACCAAATTTCAGCAACACATGATTTACCGATAAAACAAACCTGCACATGTATTCTCTGAACCTAAAATAAAAGTTTAAGAGAGGCCGGGCGCGGTGGCTCACGCCTGTAATCCCAGCACTTTGGGAGGCCGAGGCGGGCGGATCACAAGGTCAGGAGATCAAGACCACGGTGAAACCCCGTCTCTACTAAAAATACAAAAAATTAGCCGGGCGCGGTGGCGGGCGCCTGTAGTCCCAGCTACTCGGGAGGCTGAGGCAGGAGAATGGCGTGAACCCGGGAGGCGGAGCTTGCAGTGAGCCGAGATCGCGCCACTGCACTCCAGCCTGGGCGACAGAGCGAGACTCCGCCTCAAAAAAAAAAAAAAAAAAAGTTTAAGAGAAAGAGAAGAGGCGAACACTCTCTGTACAAAGGAGAGACCAGTAACTGAAGTCAGGAAGTGAGCAAAGGGGTCAAGAGCTACCTTCTGTCCTGTAGAGCTGGGTGACGCATTGGCTATAAACAAAAGGAAGCCCAGGAGAGATCCGCTTAAGACTTACCTTAGACACTGACTTTAGAAGAAAGAAGTAACACCTTAGTAAGGTAGGAAAGTGACAGGGAAACAGGGCACAGCTTCTTCAGGCAAAACTTGTCTGTTTGACAGAAGCCCTCCCTGAGCTGTCTCAGGAACTTGAGTGAAACAGCAGTGACTCATACAGGACACCCCCTCAGAACAAGGCAGGGAGCGGCACTGCTGGCCATCCCAGCCAAGGGACATCACAGGAGCAAAGAATCAGGAGCAAAAGTGAGAATCCCAATGCCGAATGCGTACACATGTGAGATGGGTATGGAATGGAGACAGCTGAAATCTAGAACTGCAGCACATGCCATTAGTTCACAAGAGAACAATGCTAACGATGACTGTGAAGATGTCAGTGATGACGAAGACAATGACAACAGTCGTGTGATGGCTGTGGTCACCTTCACATATCGGCTGGATTAGTGGAGGTTATCCCTGCAGTGCCACCTGCAGGTAAACTCGAGAAAGACCTGGCCCTTTCAATCCCTGGACCCACAAAGAGAAGACTCCAAGTATCAACCTGAAGACTTGGTTGATACTTTTGAGCAAGATGTTGTTAAATATTTAGCTAAGGATTTGCAGTTGGATATTCATCCATACCAACATGACTGCTACCGTTCTGTTTGAAATGTTCACAGCTCAGAAAATTGCACCACCCCACAAGTTAATCAGCTTTTCTATACATAGTTTCTCCTAGTGTATAATTACTGGCCAGGCTTTATATTATTTTAGGATAGTGTCAGCAGCTAATTGTGGTACAGTCTGAATGCTTTGAAATGAGCTCGGCTGACTATGAGAATAGCTCAGCAAATTTAAGGCTGTGTGTGCATCATTTAAAAAGTCTATTGTTTAGCAGGACACTGAACATGGCAGATTAATGGTGGAGTCCAATTCAAAGGGCAACCAATTATGGAATCTGACCTGCCTCACACTTCACTTTGAACTTCCTAAGCTGCTCATTCTTTGATACCTACTTACCACACTCAACTCCCAGTGGATGTTTGTGCTGGCCCACATGCACAGGGAAGCCTCCAGCCCTGGATAACAGCTGAGCCTCAAACATGGCTACAGGCTCACAAAAATCAAGTCATTTGGACTGTGTAGGAGGGAGTGTCATTCTCGCCTCAGCTATCCTTTAAGAGAAGGAATTTCCTTTCCATTACCCTGGAGGCAAAAATGTAGGAAGAATTCTTCTGGTCCCTTTTGGCTTCCTTAGCTACTATTCTATTTTTGGTTGGTTGGTTGGTTGGTTTGTTTGTTTTGGTTTTTTTGTTTGGTTTTTGGTTTTGGGTTTTTTTTTTTTTTTTTTTTTTTTTTTGAGACTGCGTCTCCCTCTATTGACCAGGCTGGAGTGCAGTGGCACAGTCTCAACTCACTGCAATTTCTGCCTCCCGGGTTCAAGTGATTCTCATGCCTCAGCCTCCTGAGTACCTGGGATTACAGGCGCACACCACCACACCTGGCTAATGTTTGTATTTTTAGTAGAGATGGGGTTTCACCATGTTGGCCAGGCTAGTCTCGAACACCTGACCTCAAATGATCCACCCACCTTAACCTCCCAAAGTGCTGGGATTATAGGCATGAGCCACCATGCTGGGCCTCTTTTTTTTTTTTTTTTTTTTTTTTTTTTTTTTTTTTTTTTGAGACTGAGTAGCTCCTATTCTGTAGGGTATGGATGATGGATGGGAGTACCGTATGTGATGGATGAATTTCGGAAAAGGAAGGAACATTATTGATTCAGCCACTTCCACTCACTCTATCCATATTCTGATTTCAAGATGCAATTGTTTTCCCCTTCCACATTTCAGGCAACTTGCCCCCACAGAGGAAGCCCTGCACGGACTCAGGTCAAATGGTGTTGTCCAGTAGCTTTTCCAATAATTCAGAAGATTACATAAATTCTACATACTGATTTAACCAAAATTGTAACGTTACTCCAGTGGGAGGATGGGAAAGAAGAAGCAGTATGACAAAAGTAAATACTTCTCTGCCATAATGAGAAATTAATAGGTAATGTCTAAAATTAATAAGTCAAAGGATACTATTGAGAGATCTAGAACAGGATATATGCCAGAAAAAACCACCAAAACTGTCTTAAGAAGTTGCCAGCGGGGAGGGGAATGACATGGACTGGAGAATGGTGGGTGTCTTAGTCAGCTGGGTTGCCATAACAGAATACTACAGGCCAGGTACAAACAACAGACATTTATTGCTTGCCTTTCTAGAGGCTGAGAGTCCAAGATCTAAGTGCCGACGAGTTAGGTTCCTAGTGAGGGTTCTCTCCCTGACTTGCGGACAGCCGTCTTCCTCCTGTGTCCTCTCATGGCCTTTCTTCTGTATTTGCAGAGAGAGAGCAAGCACTGGTATCTCTTCCTCCTCCTAATGAGGACACTGGTGCTATGGAATTAGGGCCCCACCCTTATGTGTGCAATGCCAACAGATTGGTGTTTGATTGGTGTTTGCTACTGAGTGAAAGGGGTCCCAGATACATATAGATGTTAACAGAAGATAACTGAGAAAGACTTTCCCTTAAACAAACTTTAGTCATTTCTCAGCTCTCTTCTCAACTAGGCCTTGGCCTACTGAGCCCAGTTTTAGCAAAGAATCCTGCTAAGTCATTTCATCAAGACTATCCCCATCCTGATATCCAATCGAACTCCTCTTCCCTCACCCTCGAAACGAATCAGTTCCTCTCTCTTGTTCCCTTGATACCTAACAATTCTCTTAGTCATTTTCCACCCTTGGCCTCACCTTGCCCATTGACAATAAATCCTCACTTGTCCCTGCTGTATTTGGAATTGAGTTCATGCTCTCTCCCATGCTGCAATAGTCGTGAATAAAGTCTTCCTTGCTATTTTTAACAAGTGTCAGAATAATTTCTCTTTGCTTTAACACAGTATACATTCTCTGTGCTTTAACACAATATCTATACTTTTAAATTGCCATTCGGTTTCATCCAAGTGGTAAGAAATAACATTTCAAACTTGTAAACTAAATTTAAAGTAGAACAAATTCTCTGTCACCAAATAACAGCTCCCCTCCCTAGCCCATATATGCCCATCTCTTGCTTTCGTTCTGTGGCAAACAGCTTCTAAAATGACTCCCAGTGATCCCCACCTCCTGGCATTCACTCCCTTGTGGAATCTGCTCCTTTTGTGTGGGAGCTAGAACTAGCTTTTAATAAAAAGAAGATGGAAAAAGATATGGAATTTATTTCTGAGATGGGATTCTAAATGCCTATGACTACTGTTTTGAATGCAGCCTCTTGACTGCTTTCTTGGTTGGCTTGTTTCAATGAAGCAAGTTGCTGTGCTGGAGAGGTCCATGTGTCAAAGAACTGGGGGTGGCTGCTGACCAACAGCCAGCATGAACTGATGTCTCTAGCCAAGAGCCCACAAGAAACTGATCCTGCCAACAGCCACATGAGTGAGCTTAAAAGTGTGTGCTTCCCCAGTCAAGCCCTGAGATAGCTACAGCCCTGGCCAACACCTTGCTTAAAGTCTGTGAGAAATCCAGAAGCTGAGTACCTGGCTAAGCCTTCCAGATTCCTGAATTGCAGAAGCTATGAGATAATAAATGTATGCTACTTAAACTACTACACTGTGGGGTGATTCATTATAGAGCAATTGGTAACTAATGCATCTTCCATGGCCTTCTTGTCATTGGTCAACTTTTGTGCATAACTTAAAAACAGAGACCAGTGTGACGCACAAAGTTTGTATAGTTTAAGGACACATAGAATCTACTGCACCATCCTGGGCAGACAGTGTTCTGATTTAAACTTGACTTTTAAGAAATGTTCATGCAAATTTGGGTTTCCAGTATTTCAATATCTTCTCCAGTTCTTTCTGAATATTGCCTGCTTCCATCACGTGGAAAAGCATATTCCAAAACAAAGGTACGAGGCTGGAGGTGTGAATGCATAAAAGATATTTACCATCCCTCTAATACCTACAAGTCACCCCTCCATCCCTGCTTTTCCAGAATTATGTTTATTCATTCAACATTTATTAAGCACTTACTATCCTGGCTCTACCAGAAAAGAGGCAGGGTAGTAAACACAGCAATGAACAAAAGAGGCAAGGTGTCTGCCTTCACAGGGGTCATGTTTTAGTGAAGGGGACAATAAACAAAAAATATATATATAATATAATGTCAGATAGTGAAAAGTGCTATAAATAAAAAATAAAATGCAGTAAGGAGGATGCTGAATGGTAGAATCGCTCTGGAAGGAGAGGTAGGTGTCTTAGGTAGGGTGGTCCAAGAAAAGAGCCCTACTAGGGAGCTGTTTTAGAGAATACCTGAAACAATGGAGCAAGACATGAGAAAAATCTGACCAGAGTATTCCACTCTAAAGAAAGAGCAAGTGCAAAAACTCTGATGTCAGAACAAACTTGAGATGTCAAGAAACATCAAGAAAACCAGCTCAGGCTGGCCGTGGTAGCTCACACATGCAATCCCAGCATATTGGGAGACTGAGGCAGGAGGATTGCTAGAGTCCAGGAGTTCAAAAACAGCCTTGGAAACATGGCAAAACACTGTCTCTATTAAAAATACAAAAAAATTAGCCAGGCGTGGTGTCTGTACTCTCAGCTATTCAGGAGGCTGAAGTGGGAGGATGGTGGAGGCTGCAGTGAGGTGGAGGCTGCAGTGTGCCGTAATCAGGAAGTGGAGGCTGCAGTGAGCCATAGTCATGCCAATGTACTCCAGCCTGGGTGACAGAGCAAGAGAGACCCTGTCAAAAAAAAAAAGAAGAAGAAGAAAAGAAAGAAGAAAGAAAGGAAAGAAAGGGAATGAAGGAAGGAAGGAAGGAAGGAAGGAAGGAAGGAAGGAAGGAAGGAAGGAAGGAGAGAGAGAAAGAGAGAACGAAAGAGAAAGAAAGAAAGAAAGAAAGAAAGAAAGAAAGAAAGAAAGAAAGAAAGAAAGAAAGAAAGAAAGAGAAAGAGAAAGAAAGAGAGAAAGAAAGAAGATCAGCATAGCTGGAACAGCATGAGCATTTAGAGGTGAGGCTAAAGTTGGAGTGAGGAAAAGGGCCTGGCTGTAGAGCCTGTTGACCAGTGTACAAGTTCGTGTTTTATTAAGAACTTGATGGGAAGACTGTAGACAGTCTGGGTTTAGATGATTCCAGATTATGTGTATGGAGGGAAATGGGTCACTGACAGTCTAAGATACCTCTGGAAGAAGAGTAAATTGGGATAGAAACATTGGTGGGTATATTAGTCCGTTCTCATGGTACTAATAAAGATATACCCAAGACTAGG